GGGGGGGGGGGGGGGGGGGGGGGGGGGGGGGGGGGGGGGGGGGGGGGGGGGGGGCAGAGAGAGAGAGAGAGAGAGATATACATTGATGTGAGAGAGACATTGACTGGTTGCCTCCCGCTTGTGAGCCGTCTGGGCCTGGGGATTGAGCCTGCAACTGCAGTATGTGCCCTTGGCTGGAATTGAACCCGGGACCCTTCAGTCCAAGGGCTGATGCTCTAACCACTGAGCAAAACTGGCTAGGGCTCATTTAAAATAATTTTACTCACCTTTACAATTCCTGCTTTCCCTGAGCAAATTGACTTCCCCTCTCTGGTGGAATTTACCGAATTGCTAAAAGCCTTCAAAAATGGGTAATCCAAGCCCGAGTGGGATTGGATTAGAGATCCAGCCCCAGCCAGTGAAGGAGTGTTTTTATTTTTGTAATCTGGCCGGGAATAGGAAAGAGGACTTGGATGTCTTCCTATTCTTACTGGAGGAGAGTGAGGCTGAACACTTGTAAAGCACAGCATGGGCTGTGGCCAGAAGGTTGAAGCGTGGAACACCTGCCCCGCACACAGACCTCTGAGTGCCTTTCCCCACCTGTGGATCATTCATGGCCTATGGCTCCTCCAGCCTATGGATCAGTCATTGAAACTCAGTTCACCTTGGCTAATACTGCCTCCAGGCAGCCTCTTCACGTAGCCTCTGTCTCTTTTCTCATCAATCTATTGTGTATACTTCAGCTGCATAATTCTTCCTAAAATATAGTTCTCATAATAATAACAATAAAACAGTGTCCCAAAGTCTTTCTTATTTTACCATTGACAACAAACTAAGGTTGACGCTTTAGAGCATTTAACCTGCCACCAGCTTTCCAGCTGCACTTCCAAGTCAGACTGGATCGTCCTCTATGCCAGAAGTTGCACCTGGTGGCCCTTAGTCGAGTTGGCCTGCAGACATGTTCTATTATTTGGTTTGCAACTTTAAAAAAAAATTAATGCTTTAAAATCAAAGGAATTTCCTTAAAGCTAAAGTCTCAGAGAAAGTACAGGGAACTATGAAAGCTTCAGAAAAGATGGGAATTTGGGGAAAGGAAAGGAATCAGACAAGACTTAAATTCTTACCAGCTTAAGTTCTCAGTCCATCTTTTACCCACCTTTGTAGCAGAGTCTTTACATATAGTAGGTAACTAATTATTACTTGTTAACTGATAGTTATATGACCTTTGGTAATTTCTTGCCACAAACATTGAGGTTTTTCTGTTTCACAAGAGACCTGCATTTGTTGAATCTCCGGTGATTTGTACAGTGTCCTTAAGTGCAAGTCAGTAAAGAAATTGAAAGCTGCATTTTAAAGTACCTTCAAATTTTACAGTGTTTTTAAAAAGATGACCATACATTTTCATGCAGATAAATGGTCCATGAAAATTTGTTTTACTATAATAGGCAGGAGTAAAGCAGGATTTAGAGAGGAGAGTTTAGAAACTTGTTTGACAGGATGAAATGGCCATCACTGGGAAAGGTGGAGAACCATTGATGTAAAATACAAACCTTTGAACATAGGAAATGAAGCAGGTGGTAAATTACAATAGATGCTCTAGGCATTTAATGTGGTTGGTTCATGTTGAAAGTTGACCATGTGCTAAGTTAGTTATGTGTATGAGTATCAGTGTACTGTGGCTTTTCCCCACCCTCCTGTCCCCTTTGACATAAACATACAAGTGAAATTTTAGAGACAATTATTTTATATCTCTTTAACCTGAAATAATTTTAAAACTTGGTAATCATCACGGTCCTAATAACAAATATACGTAATGGGAATAAATGGTTAACTCAGCTTGTCTAGAAATATTGGACTACCTGTTCCCGGGCTGACGTTTCCAGGTGCAAGGGTTTTCTAGATCAGAGGTATAATGGTTACATTGACCAGCTCATATAAGGCTTAGTATGTGCCAGCCACTGTCCTCGGTGCTTGTGCCTTTTTGTTTGTTGTTTTTCTTGAACACTGGCTAATGGTTTTACAATGCATTGCTTTACAACTCGTTTCATGGCAGGGTATATGTATTCAATAATAGTATTTATATGGGACCCTGGGATAGAGGGCCCTATGCACACTGTGCTGGGAAGCTGTACAGTGGTGTATTGCAGACTTTATATAGTCCTGATTTCTCCTGATAGCATTGCTTCCTTGATCTTCTGATGGCATTAAACATTTCACTAATCCACAGTGCCCCTTTTCATAGTCTACAGAAGGGCACTGTTCCTCTCCAGCTATTCCCCTTCCTGAGGTCTGAGAGCCCTCGGAGAAAGTTCACACACGTGTGTCAGTCAAGTTTCCCATCACTCTGACACTTCTGAGCCTCTCCAGACTGACCAGTCTCCGGCCTCCAGACCGATTCCAAAGCTCTGTCTTTGAACCATGGTCATTAAATCTTGCAGGGAGGTCAGTTTTATAAGTGTACTCAACAGGAAGAGCATGGATAAGAGCTGAAGAGAGAGGAATGCACTCCACAAGGTCTTTGCTGAATGGATAACTTGGGTCTCTTCTCTCTTTGCTCCTCCAACCAAATAACTTTCTGTGAACACTTAATGCAGAGCTCGATGCCCTCAGGGCTCAGGGGGAAGAGGTGGCGGCTGTAAGTTCTTTGCACATTTCTGTAAAGCTCCTGGTTGTGTCTGAGCTGGTCTGCTTTTGAATGCCGCCGGGTTCGCAGTTGACTCTGTGTCGTCCCTCTCACACACTTATTCCTTTCTCCTACCCTCAGAACAACCAGGCACACTTAAATATATGTTTAAAAATACTTAAAGTATATATAAAACTTTCCTTTCTTTTATTTGCATTTAAATAAAGTATTCTTCCTCTACCCTTTCTATGCTTTTAGAGCTGTGATGTGCTGATCTAAGAGAAAACAAAAGGGCCCCACCTGCGTGGCTCAGCGGTTCAGCACTGACCTAGGGTCCAGGAGATCGAGGCTCAATTCCTGGTCAGGGCACATGCCCGGGTTGCAGGTTCGATCCCCAGCAGGGGATCATTGATATTTCTCTCATCATTGATATTTCTATCTCTCTCCTTTCCTCTCTCTGAAATCAATAAAGACATATTTCTTTAAAATCAATAGGCATATTTCTTTAAAAAGAGAAAAAAAAAGAACGGAATCCTAGAATTCACAGATTCTAGATTTCAGCCTCAGAACTGTCACTTATCCAGCTAAATGAACAAGTTTATTTAATTTCTAAGCCTTCGTGATAAGACAAGACAAATGATACCTGTCCCATTTCCCTCTCAGAACTGATCTTGAAAACCAAAGGGAATCTAATGCATGACAATATCCCATAAACTCTAAAAGCACAAGGTAAATGCAATTTGTTATTGTATTAAAAGCAGCCAGTGTGTCCTCAAGTGCAGTGGCATTTCCTTGTAAGAATTTCAACACCGAGTGGTGAGTGTGGCTCCGGTGATGCAGAGTTGACCCTGCTCTCCCTCTTTATTCCCTCCCTCGCCTTGCAGAGTAACCTGATGCACTACCTGGGCCTGAGCCACCATCTGCTCGCACTGAATTTTATCATCGTTTCTTTCGGCAAGAAAAGCGCATGGTCATCTGCTCGGGTGAAGGTGACCGACACCGACTTTGACGGCGTGGAAGTCAGAGTGTTTGAAGGCTCTCCAAAGCCAGACGAGCCTCTGAGGCGCAGTGTTGTTTATATCCACGGGGGAGGCTGGGCCTTGGCAAGCGCAAGTATGTCCTGGTCACCTGCAGGTGGTTTGGGGTTGTGGTTGGCCCTGGCAGAGAGGTGTGTGTAATTGAGTTTTACTTTCTTATTGGGTAAAGAGGGGGACCATTTGACTTGGTTCCTCTGGACAGTCCCAGTTGCCCCTATCGTCCCAGCAAAAGTATTAGGGGTGTGTCCTTTTCATGCTTGAAAGTGTCATGGTTTGGATGATTAATTATATGTTTATACCCTACGGAAAGGTTTTTGCCTGCTCGTTTGCTTGTTTGTTAATTAAGGCAGACTGTTTTGAAAATATGTCCTGTGACCTAAATCATAGACTAACTTATTACGAAGTCCTGGCAAGAGCTTTCTGTACCTACACAAGGTGGAATTTCTTTGGGCCAGAGGATGAGGGAATTATCTCTAGCTCTTTTGCTAGCTTGTGTTTTAAAGACATCTTTCTGTGAAATAGAACACGTATTTCTGAATACACACGTTAACTCATCAACATTTCATCTGCTTATGAAACCAAGGATGGGAATGTAAAAGTGTGCCACCGTTAAAAGGAAGTGATCTTACGAAGTTCAAGAATGTTCTCTTTATTACTGGATTACTTTCAGGAGCAGAACAGGTTCAGAATGGCAAGCCACCAGGTGGAGCAGCCGGCAGGAAGCAGAGGCTTTAGCTCTGCCTGTAATTGCATCTTCAGCCCAGAGCTTTGGCAACTAGTTCTAGTTGTTTTGTTTTTTTAATAACATTTTTTTTAATGAGGCAAAAGCCAAAAATATAGCTTTTTATAATAATCCCATTTAATTTAATTCCATATTCATCATTTGTTCTTTTAATCATTGATTTGTTCATGTTTTCAACAGATGTTTACTGAGCATGTAGGTTTGCCTAGGACTGAGAGGTTTCCCGGGGGTGCAGGACTTCCAGCACAAAAACTCAAACAGTCGTGTGCAAACCTGCACCTTTGTCACCCTAATGTGTACTAGGTGATGGGATATAGAAATGAGTAAGATAGAATCTTTTTCCTAGAAAAGAATGAGCCTGTACCATTGAACACTTGCCAGGTGAGACATTACATTGGAGGCCAGGAAGGGTAAGTGCTGGGAATGGTGTAGGTTATAAGAGCCAAATGGCCCTTTCCACATAATTGTGACTGGTCACTCTTGCCAGAGGGAGAGCTCAGGCTGAGGGTGGTATGTAGATGGTTATGTTCTTGTTTAACTTCTGATTCTAAGACTGCCTTGCAGAGCCTATGGCTAAGGTGACATTTGGCTTTCTGTTGACATAATCTGCTCTTTGTATATTGGAAGAACAGCTAAGAGATTAATTTTTTACATAATAGCATTGGTTCTGTCAATGCAAACTTTTGGATTCTCTTTCTGAGAATTGCTAAGAGTTCTTAAAATTCTGTTTTGTTATATGTTTGTTTAAACAAAATACCATATTCTTCAAATTGGTGACTTTCCTGAATAGTAGCAAGTGAGGATGTTAAAAGAGAAAAATTTTATGGTTTTAAGGAGAAAACTGCTTATTGGCTGTGGATTTTGGAAAGGCATACATTTAAAGAGCTAATCAGAATTAACTTGTTGCATTTCATATAGTCCATTATGAAATAAATGCTTAGTTAGTTAAAAACACATTCAAATGCAATCTAATATGAATTTCCTGTTATTTTATAGACATTGCATTTTATCAGAAACTTGATTTAAATTCTGCATTTGTACATGTAACTGTATTAAGGACATATATGTTCACATTTGCTTTTTATTATTAATTACTAAAAGCAATTCACGATTAGCAGAATTTAAGAACAGACAGTATTAAATAACTTGTTTAATAGTGGTTGTTCCTTTGTTTCCTTTAGAAATCAGATATTATGATGAACTGTGTACAGCAATGGCTGAGGAGTTGAATGCTGTCATTGTCTCCATTGAGTAAGTAATTAACACTAGTCATAGAAAAAAATTTCAGAAGGGATCCTGGATAACCATCCAGTTACTTTATTTTATAAGTGATAAAATAGAATATAAAATAAAGGTTCAGAGAGGTGAGGTGATTTTACATGAAGCGATTTCTGATATAACATCATTTCTCGCTTTTTAATGCCTCAAATTATGTCTTTATTTTCATTTTGGAAACTTCTGGAAAAGGAATGAACTGAAATTGAGAGAAATATGCAATCAGTTATCTACAGCATATAAGCATTATCACTGCTTTTTTTAAAACGAAACACCAATCAGCATTATAAGAGAATCTCTCCTACAACTAGGAGTTGTAGAAGTGATTCTCCCGGAGTCAGGTTCTGTAAGTCGGACCTTGTAAACAGTAATGAGTTCAAGGAATCTTCGTCGATGTAGTTATCATTAACATTATTATTAGTCGTATTAGTATCAATATTTTGAGTTGCTTCTACCAATTATTTGTTAGCCATCTTTCCGGGAAAGATGTGAATACTTATAACAATTGTGGGGATAGTAATAATACACAAACCATGGCACCTATTCTGTGGCAGGCCTGGTGCAGGTGCTATTGCTCACACTGTCTCTCCTCCTCAGGTCTTTGTCCAAATGTCATCCTTTCAGCTAGGCCTTCCTTGACACCCCTATTTAAAATTGCACCCCACTTTTCCTCTGTTTTATTTTTCTCCAAAACTGTCATCAGTATCTGACAGATCACATATTTAACCTACCATATATTTATTGGACTGAACAGAAACAGGCAATGTAAGTTTCACCAAGGCAGGGATTTTAGGGATTTTTGTCTCTTTTGTTCATTGCTGACAATTGTACCTGGAAACATTCTTGGTAGATAGTGGGCATTTAATAAATATTTGTGGGATGAATGAATAGAGTCTTGCTTAATATTCATATAAATCATCCAAGATAAGTATTTTGATATTTTCCTCGTAGATAGGAAATTGAGGCCGGAGAACTTAAGTAACCTGCGTGAGGTCCCATAGCTAGATAGTCACAATGCTGGAATGGGGAACTGAGCCAGGTCAAATTGTCCCAAGGCCTGTATCAAGCCAGCGCTGAAGGAAGCTGATAGTGCTGAGTGACAGTGTGGCAGTGTTACGAAATCAGCCACTTTCCGAGCCCTGAGCTTATCCGGCTCTGCCTGTCCCTCTGCCTCTCCCTGCCAGCACCCCTCCCATTCCCGGCACAGCCCCTCCTTGCTCCTAATCCGGACCTGAGGCCTAAGAGAATCCTTTCTTCTGCAGTCCCGGGAGGGCTGGCCCCGAGTCATTCGGGCAGCTCTGGCGCTGGAACAGAAGCCGCAGAGTCGGAGAGCCGTGCTGTGGCTGCTGCCTCAGCGGAGGTGCTCTCAGCGAGGCCTCTCAGATCGCTCAGGGGAAGTGCGGTAATGCAGGAGCCTGCTAGTAAATGATTATGGCATCTGTCCTGGGCAGCTGGCCAGAGGAAAGCAGGGGCTGTGCAAGCAGCTGAGCCTCACAATGGAGCGAGGTTCCACAGCTTGGGGCTGGGGAACCAGCCTCAGAGCTCCTGCCATGGGTCCCTGTGTAGCCCCAGTTCCTCAGAGGCCTGGGGAAAGGAGGACAGGGGCCTTGCATTACTTGGCACCAAGAGGATTCTCCACCCAGGCCTCACCCTCCAGGGCTTCAGTATAAGCAATTGGCAACAAGAGTCCCCATGTCCTCCTGTCAGCATCGAGTAAAACGTATCCTTAGGCTAATACTAAAACGCACGAAGATGGATGAGATGTTTTAAAGATTTTTTCAAAAGAACTAAAACATAGAAGGCACTACTTTCACCTTTGATTTTCCATGGGTCCTAATCTAGATGATGTAGCTTCCAGAAGTTTATCAGCTGGGAGGCATTGCAGCAGTGGGCAATTGCTATTACTTGTGACTGTGTGACCTCGGGCAAGTCGTTTAACCTGACGTGCAACATGGGGTTAGGAATCCTTTCTGTGTGTCTAGAATGTGAGCTGCTGGGAGCAGACATGTGTCTTCGTTCCTTTGGGTCCCCATCACCCAGTACAAGGCTTAGCACATATATGCGTGCGAGGCAACTGTACTTTGAGTTAGGTTAACGACTTCACAGAGTTGTCACGAGAATCAGCTTGAACAATTGAGATAAAAGGGCTTCCGATACCCAAAGGTGCTAGACAGACTGGAGTATTGGTGCTGTAGCTCAGAGAATGGAAAGGTCCAACTGACACACTTATTTACCAACATGTGTTTGGAATTTGCAGCATTTTTCTTGTAGAAATAATGACCTAAGATGCTTAGGATCCAGGCCAGCCAGCCCACAAAGAGCCACATAACCTATGCTCTAGCTGAGGGATAGCCAACATATGATCATGATGTTTCTCTTAGAAAGCGTCTTCAGAGTCCTAACTTGGGAACATAATTCTTCTCAGCGCTGTGTCTTTTCTTTTTCTTTTATTCTGTAAATATCTATTGAATTCCTATTATATGCCAGTTACTGTGTTAAATTCTGGTGACATACAATGTGAGTAAGACAGACATCATTCCTGCCTTCATGAAGTTTACAATGTAGGTGAGAAGACAAACCCTGAGCGACTCATGCTAAGTGTGATAAGTGATGTGAGGTAGATGGTAAGTAGTAATGGAGGCATCTAGTAGGTAAGATGTTACCTAATTTGAGGGTCAGAAGAGGTGTCTTGAAGAAAGTCATATTTGAATCAAGGTCCTAAGGACAAGTAGAACCTAGTTAGACAAAGCGAGCTGGTCATGGAGGTCCAGGTGGTGTCATGAGAGGGCTTGGGAGAAAGGGGAGGAGGCAGAGAACATTAAGGGAGAAAAACACGAGAGAAGACAGATGGAGGGACTATACTTCTGGCAATGACTAAAGAAAAGAAATAAGGGTAGGTGATCCTGAGAGCCCTTGGCTTTCCTGGGATTCCACCTCCCTAGCAGGGAGGCTATCTGGAGACAGTGCTCCTTATCTTCAGGCCCACGGGAGTGGTGGTGGGGTCACGGCTTTGCTTCATGTGGGGTGAGGCCTTGGGGAGGGTTATCATCTGAGGAAGCTGGTAGGCAAAGGTTGGGGGCCACCCTGACAATGGGATCCCCTCCTGTGAGGCGCACACCAGGAGTTGGAACTCCTCAGTGCATGTTGCTGGCACTGGCTCAAGGTTCTGGGGACTGACCCAGCAACACAGGTGTAGATAACGGCCTCAAAGTATAAAAACAGGCCGTGCCTTTACTCAGTAGCTTCTGCAACACTATGCTATTTTACATGATTAATTACACAATAAGTATTTGTTAAATAAATGAAAAACTTTATCTTATAATACCAAAGATACATGGCTGTAGCCTCAGTTATATGATCTACGAAGGTCCTATTTTATATTCACAAACTTATTTTCATGAAGTTCAGTGCAGTTTAGCTATAGCATGGTGTCTTTTTTTTCTTTAACATGGTATCTTTTTATCTGTAGTTTACATAATAGGACACAATACTAGATCCATAAAAAATAAGTGAAAAGGATTTCATTTCTTTTTCAAAATATAAAATGTAAGCCAACACAGGTGGCATGTTGGATATTGTTAAATTCTATTTAATACATTTTATTTAATTCTATAAATTCTGTTATGTTCTAGAAAGCCTTTATTTGTGTTGCTTTCTTGGATGAAGAAAACAGTTTCAAGTGGTGTTTTGCTTTTAATTAAATCTTGACTACACTCGTAAACTCCCCACGTTATGTGGATGGAGATTTCTTCCCATCCATCAGTGGCAGGTGGCAGGTGGCAGTGCACACCGAGAACCTGAACCCTTTCACAGAGCTGTGAAGGGGAATGTGGCTAATGCAGACAGAGAAGCTGGAGTGCTTACATTAGTTTTCTGCAAACAGAGTTATAAGCAATGGCACACTTACGCCTCTTTTTTTTTCACCCATAAAATTAGATGAGTAGAAGTTGACAAAACCACAGTGCTTTTAGGAGGCACAACACAACACACATCTTGAGAAATGGTTGTAAAATAAGATGCTCTGAAAAACAGTGACAGTGACCTAGCCGTGACTTTCCCTCTGCTCCTTTACCTGCGTGAGTCCTGAGCGGAGACATCCTCACGCATCAGTCCCACCCGGGCAGCCCCAGAAGGTGGGCAGACCAAATTCCTAAGGGTTCCCCTCCAACAAGGGAAGATGTGCTCAAAACTTTTCTTTTACTTGGCTCAGGCCAACCTGAGCAAACCCAAAGGCCAGCGTCACAAATAATTCAATACCACAGAAAGATAATATTGTGGCTTCTTTTAAGAAGTAGGTTCTTTTATTCCCTTTACTATCATTAACTTGATGAATCCCTCTTTTTAGACATTTCACTAAAGTCTTTTGGGCTTTGTTTTCTACTAACAAAAACCCACCGGTTTCTTTCTTGTGGTTGGTTTTGGTGTTTTAGAATTTCTAGCGGGGAAACGAGCTTTACAAAAAAGCCAGTGCCGTGGCACAGAGCACCTGGGACTGCAAACCACAGGGAGGCTGCGAAGCCTAGTTTCACCCACGCCTGAACCCTAGANGCACAGAGCACCTGGGACTGCAAACCACAGGGAGGCTGCGAAGCCTAGTTTCACCCACACCTGAACCCTAGAACTGTTTAGCTTCTGAAATGACAGAGAAAGGAGGCCAGAAGGACCTGGCGCACCAAGCCTGCTTGGGCTTCTGTAGCCACCTGGGGGAGAGCTCTGGCTCTCAGTTTATGCTGGAGGTGAAAGGGGAGATTTGCATCTGAGTGGGCAGAGGCAGTTAGATAGTTGGGGAGTCTGGGAGCTCCCTGTTGTGCACGGAGGTGCACAGGAGTCTTACAGGGTGAATGGAGCATCAGAGAGTCACATCCTTGGAGTGGATCACAGTTCTAGGCTCCATCGCTCCTAGGATCTGGGTGAAGCACCCTGAGAGATCAGTTCTTGTGGATGTTATTCTTACCCCATCAGCCAAGCCTTTGCTAATCTCACCTCTCCCTTGCTGAAGGACTGGTGGTCAAAGCTATAAAAGGGGCCAGTCTTTTTTTTTTTAAAGATAATTTTAAAAAATATATAGATGTGTTTTTATTGATTTCAGGGAGAGAGAGAGATAGAAACATCAATGATGAGAGTCATTGATGGGCTGCCTCCTGCAGGCCCCCTACTGGGAATCGAGCCCAGAACCCTGGCAGGCATGTGCCCTGACCGGGAATCGAAGCTCGACCTCCTGGGTCATAGGTCGATGCTCAACCACTGAGCCACACCGGCTGGGCAAGGGGCCAGCTTTGAGAGTAGAATCAGAAAGGAGAGCGCTTGCTCAGCTTTTATGCACAAACCGCGGTGTAAGAACGAAAAGAGAAACTCATCCACTCGCAGTCTTTCCACTTTTGCCATTTTAGTGTATGTTCTTTTCACGGAAAGGAAGAAGCTGTCTGTTAAGAAGACTAAATAGATAGATTCTGCCCCTGGAGATGCCCCCAAGCGCGGTGCGCGGGCAGGGTTGATCGGTTTCACACGGCCCCTCCTGAAGGCGGCTCTGACTGAGGAGAAGAGTAACCTTTTTGTATTCTCAAGGTGAATCTATTGAGCTCCTCTTGGGAGATGGTGAAAAGGGGAAAGAGGAAAAAATAAGGCCCCTAAAAGGAATGAGATTTTATCTCCCTCCCGCTGGATCGCGCAGGTGTCTGATTTCATTCTAGAATGTCGTGTGTACCTTTCACCTAACTGGCACCGCACGAAGGGAACTCGGTGTCCTTGTCCTCGGCGGAAGACTGTACACAGTTGGGCTATTTAGAGGGAGAATGTGCGTTACAATGTCACTAGAACAATAGTGACATTCAAGGCCTCAGCGTCCCTGGGCTTGGAGCAGCTTACGTTTCCCCTCAGCTACGGGCTGTGTGCAGGACGGCCTGGGGCTTACGGAGCAATCTGTCAGGCTTCCCGAGCCGTCCCACGTCCCTGCCACCGTTAATAAAGTGGGTGCTGATTGCTCAGGCAGGGAAGGTACCCACCAAACTGAGTACAGAGCCCTGGCTTTCCATCGACGCCCAGAGGGAGCTGAGGTGTCTGTGCTAAGACCTGTTCCCGGAGAGACTTTGAGGGCTTCCAGGAAGGCGGGCGCTACTGTTGGCTGAGCCCCCAGGAGGTTTCAGGGAGGCAGTGGCACTTGAAATGAGACCTAAAGGATGGGAACATTTGATGAGCAGTTGGGGGTGGGGGAGGGCATATTGGACAGAGCAAGGGACCGGTACACTGGGAACAGGAACAGGGAGGTGCTAGAGAAGAGCAACAATGTGGCTGGATCTGTGGTGTTTCTGAACCTTGGCTGCCCATGAGAATGACTTGGGGGAATTTTTCATCAAATACGGGATGTTTTGCCAAGGAGCTAGAAATAGGTAGAGTTGAGAAACTCAGAGCTGTGCCTAGAACACAGGAAGCGGAGTCCTTGGAGATGTGCTAGACAAGTAGGTGGGTTAGGAACAATCTCTTTTTTTAATTTTTTTTTTTTTTAACACTTACCCAAGGATATTTTTTCTATTGCTTTTCAGAGAGGGTAGAAGGGAGAGAGAGAGAGAAAGAAGCATCGATGTGAGAGAGACACATCGATTGGTTGCCTCCCACACACACCCTGACTGGGGCCGGGGATCGAGCCTGCAACCGAGGTGTGCCCTTGGCCGGAATCGACCCGGGGATCCCTCAGGCCGCGGGCTGGCGCTCTAACTGCTGAGCCAAACTGGCCGGGGCATCTGTTTTTAACTCCCTATGGCTTATTACTTTTCTCACCACAGATAGTGTTAGATGTAAAAGGGATAAAATTAATCTTTGAAATTTTGTTTGGAGGAAAGAAAAGTATGTTATTAAAGATTGTCAACATAAGAAACATCCAAACCTGCAGAGAATTTTTATATGCGTTTATTTCAGCCAAAACTGACAACAGTTGCCGGGAAGCAAGATCTCCAACGGTCCAGAGTGGTGCAGTTTCTTTTATGCATTTGGAATTAAGAAGGAAATATAAGAAAGATGACATGAAAGTGGGAGAAAGCGAGGTGTGATTAGATTACAGGGTAGTTAACAAGCTCATGAGGGTGGTTACCCCTTTGAGGGGTATTACTTGTGGCATTTCAAAGGTCTGTTAACCTAGATGCATAAGAACAATGTGGACAGGGCTTGCTTAAAAACTAAAGAAGTTATATGCCTGGGGCATCACTACCCACCACGACTTGCCCAGTTAGGGAATTATGATTTATTATTACAACACCCTTTTTTTGTCCACAAGATGTACCATTTGCCCAGACACTGTGCTTGGTGGTTTGTTTTGAGAATATTGTAAAGCCATTGAAATCATGAGAGACATTCTAGGATGTCAGAAATCTGTAGTTGTGAGAATTTACTTGCTTTGGTGGAGTAATGAGAACACACACGCATGATAGTAAAAGGCTGTGAGTGTTGAAGAAAAAATATTTTTAAAGGGGGAATGCACATGATTTTCTAAGTCAGTGTGAATTCAGATCACAGCTTTGCCACTTATTAGCTGCTGTAGACAAGTGATACATCCTAGCAGGAATAACATAAATTTTAGAGAGTGTACGCATTTGTTAAATTGATTAAACCTCATTCCTGAATTTACACTAAATTTTGGTCTAGTAGGAGGCATGCACAGTAAGAGATAGGCAAACACTGGCATTGCAGTCATCCATCCTTGCAGTGAGTTGGGAAATTGAGATTATATTTGCTAGAATTCATCAGGTACTTTTTTTACTCAAGAGCTACAATTTTAAAATAAGAAAATAAAAAAGGCAGAATCCTTTTTCAGTCCTTTGCAGGGAGATGCTTTGAACAAAAACAGCAGATAAATATGCATGCTTTCTTTGGTAAACCATGCATAAATTTTCTCCTGATCCTCAGTTTTCTGTGTCTGTAAAGACATTACAGAACTTTTGTTCCGTCTACTCGTCTGGTCAATTTCAAGCTCCTTTGAGGGCTCATCTTACACTAGGTGACCTGAGACGTATCTAGTTTCACTGCAGTCCCTGGTCTGAGCAAATAGTGTCCCTTCTTATTGAATAAAATTAGAGACTGTTTCCAGCTTGAACAGAGGTAAAAGGAGGGGTGGGCAGATAGGTTTTTATGGGCCCCAGGAAGACACTTTATCATAACCTGTTTGCTTTTAAGTATGCTTATTCTGTTATCTGAACCAGTTGTTAACGACTGATAAGATTTGAGGTAATAGCATTTCTTTTAGTTTACCAATTTTCTCTTTATTCAAAGTCACTAAGATCTTTTGTGAAACGTCTGAAAATTTAATTCATGTGTGTGCACTAGTAGAATATGTTCTGACCTCCTAAGCCACCAGGAAAACAGTTCATCATGATATATGGAATCTTGCTAAGACAAAATAGCCTTTATTTTCACAACTTGAGTCATAAAGTGCATTTGTACTTATTTCATTAAAAGAATTAAGAATTCAGTTTGGTAATAATACGGGAGTTAAAATATGGAGACCTCCTCCCAGAATCATGTGAGCTGTCTCCACCTAGTGGACAAAATGGTGCAGTTCTACTCCTTTCATCAGTTATTACTAATGGAATGTATAGCAGCAGCTTTAAGCCTAATGAAAATCAACTGGGGGAAAAACATTTTAGATAGTTACTTGATCACCACAGATGTAGAAATAAGAAATAAATCAGAAAACATATTTTATCTCTTATAAGGCAACCTTCTAACCCAGAGGTGCTGTGAATGGAACGCTGACTTCCAGAAATAAAATCCCAAATCTGTTGTGGTTCTGTCCATATCTCAACAATCAACATCTGCTTTTTACTCTGAAGTTTCATTTTTTGCATTGGTAGTGGTGGTGGTAGGTGTTTGTTTTTGTTTGGTTTGTTTGGGCAGTTAATAGTGAAAAAAAATAACATTACATTTTAGAACAAAGTATTTGATTTGCAAGAAAATGAGTGGTTCATTTTTATATTTATTTCAATTCCTTTCCTGTTTATTGTTGGCCTCAAAAGAATCAGTGCCTCCTTAAACTTTAAATGGCCTTGAAGACCCAGAGAAGTCCTTAAATGAATACAACTTTTGTCTTCACAGATATAGGCTAGTGCCAAAGGTTTATTTTCCTGAGCAAATTCATGATGTTGTACGTGCCACGAAGTATTTCATGCAGCCGGAGGTCTTGCAGAAGTATTCGGTGGACCCAAGCAGAATCGGCATTTCTGGTGACAGTGCTGGTGGGAATTTGGCCGCCGCCCTGGGCCAACAGGTAACAGGCTTCTCTGAGGCTCTGGCAGGAGGAGGGCGCATGGTAACATCAAAAAGACCAACACATTCCTCACTACGCACAGCAGAGGCTTAGCCAGGTGGGCTGGTCACCATGTGGCCAGGGTGTTAGGGTGGCTGAACTTGGAGGTGCTCAGAGACCTTTCTGAAGTAGGAGAGGGGTCACTGAAAGCCAAGTCATCTCTGAGTCTGTGTACAGGCCCTGAGTACAGTCAGGACGAGAAGGGGCCCAACATGTTGCAGGCCTGCCTTGCTCCTCAGGGGATGCATGGAAATTAAGCATCTCCTGCTCCTTCTTCATGTTGGACTTCCAAACATGGAAAAGTTTTTATATTTTTTCTTAAATTACAGTTGTTGAGATTGTTTCCTTAGAACTTAGAGCCAAATTTAAAAAATTAAAAAGTGCCTCCCAGTGTTTTTTTTTTAATATAAAAGAAACTATTAAATGGTTCTGCCACTTTAAATGTAATAATAAATCTGAGCTTTACCTTGTTAAATTCTTTGAAAACAGAATTTGGGGCAGCTGTATAAACTCAAAGATAAGTACATTTTCTTCCTGTAATGGATTTGATAAGAGACAAAGTCTGCACTGTGCTAAATTAAACTACAGCAGGCTGGAGGATAGGAGGAAGAGGTAAGAGGTAATCAGTTTGAGATCCTGGGGCCCAATCCAGCAAAAGACTGCTCACATTCTTGGACATAGGTTAAAGCTCTGAATCAACTTTCAGTGGTTATAAAAAAAATTAAAAAATAGTGAAACATCCAGGCACCACTGCAGCCTGCGTATGCATGAACTTTCCAGACTGTGCCCACAACCCATTCAGAAGCAGGAAATATTTCTTCCTTAGGGACCATGCACCTGTCCTAGAACTTCCTCCTGATTCCCCTTTCCTGCCACCGGTATCTGTAGCTAATGTAAATTCTTTCAAACAACTTACATCTTTCTTCCCAGAACCCATTGTATGAAAGAGCCTGTCAGCTCCAGGCAGTGGGCATGCTTGTGTTTTCCATCTCGCCCTGCAGCTGGGGGCTCAGACTGCGCGCCCCAGGACCTGGTGCTTTCTCTGCTAGCACATGGCTCAGTAAACCTTCTCTTCCAGAAAAGCTTTTGGCCGCAAAGGTTTTGGTTTAACGTACCAAATAACTTATGAATAGCATCTCTGTCTTCTCACCTCCGAATTTTTTGGGATATTTTTTGAGTAGCATCTGCTTTTTTATTTGTGGGGTACCTTGGTTTCTTCCCCTTTGCTGTAATTAAAGAACTTGATTCTCCACTTGACATTGGTAGGTTTGCTATCCACGTGTCCAAATGTGGTAAAAAGCAAGTCTTGGTGCATTGGGGAGGCCTTAAAACCAGACAGAACTGAGAAGGAATCTAAGCCCCCTTTGGGAGCTACAGGGTTCTGGGAAAGACTCTTAACCTCTAATATCGTCTGATTGCGGGGCTGTTGCCAGGACTTAGTGAGATGATGTGTATACAGTTCTGGGCACATATTAATAGTACTGTTTCCTGCCTGGCCGGGCATGGCTCAGTGGTTGAGCATCGACCTAGGACCCAGGGGACCGCAGTTCAATTCCTGGTCAGGGCACATGCCTGGGTTACAGGCTCAATCCCCAATCATCATTGATGTTTCCATCTCTCTCTCTCCGTCTCCCTTCCTCTCTCTCAAATCAATTAAGATACACACACACACACACACACACACAGAGGGAGAGAGAGAACTATTTCCTGATTATTTTCTCTCACTGTTACAGAGCAGTTACCTCTTTCCTGGGGATGGGGCTCTACAGGCCGGTGTGAAACCAAATTGTACGGCTAAAGTTACCTTAAAGATTGTTGAGTTGCCTGCAGTGAGCTAGTTGCCGTCTTTTAGATGTTTCATGAAAAATCAGTCATTTAAGACACTAGAACTACAACATGAGGCAGTGCTTTGACATTTGGGGGAGGCATCGGGGAACAGGTCTGCTGGGGTGGGGGTCCTTCCCGTCCCCATGTCGAACTCACTCTGGGGCACGTGCTCATTAAGCAGAATGGCGGGTCCATGGCCAGCACTGTGTGAAATCTCACTCTCACCAGCGTGGAGGCTGAGCGCTCATCAGAGGAGGTACCCTGAGGTCCTGCCGAAACACTGGAGTCCTGTCATCTCTTCATTTTCCTGCCCTTCTCCTTTGGAAGAGTCAGACTAGTTTTTTTTCTCCCTAGGAAGACAGTGCCTTTTGGGGCTTTGCAGGGAATCCAAAACTAAATAAGGTTCACACATTGTCCATCCACAATACCCAGTAAGGATGTGCTAAGTGCCAGAGGATAGATAAAAGTAACATATTAATGAGGATTTAAAGACCTGAGAGATGATCTACCTGTGAAGTGTTCACTCAAAATTATGAGTCGCAAACGTCATGCCTTTGTTGGTAAATATCTAGCAGCTTCATCGGGTGGTGGTGGTGGCAGTTGCGGTTGGTGATGAGGAATTACTTGTTTTTTTAAACGACATTAATACCACGCCTGCTAGAAATTTAACAGCTGTCTCCCTTTGATTCCAAGTAACACGTTTTTCAGGTATGGCTTCTGTAAAAGGAACCATGCAAAATAAAATAATATGTTTGTTGCTTCTGTTCCAGTTTAGTCAAGATGCCAACCTGAGAAACAAGCTCAAAGTGCAAGCTTTAATTTATCCGGCCCTTCAAGCTTTAGATTTTAACACGCCCTCTTATCAGCAAAATGTGAACGCCCCGATCCTGCCCCGATACGTCATGGTCAAGTACTGGGTGGACTACTTCAAAGGCAACTATGACTTTGTCCAGGCAATGATAGTGAACAATCACACGTCCCTCGATGTGGCAGAGGCTGCGGCCCTCAGGGCCCGTCTGAACTGGACATCCCTCCTGCCCGCGTCCATCACCAAGAACTACAGGCCCGTGGTGCAGCCCACCGGCGACGCCAGGATTGTCCGGGAGATCCCTCAGCTGCTGGACGCCCGCTCTGCCCCCGTCATCGCGGACGAGAGCGTCCTGCAGCACCTCCCCAAGACCTATATTCTGACGTGTGAGCACGACGTCCTGCGAGACGACGGGATCCTGTATGCGAAGCGTTTGGAGAGCGTAGGCGTGGAGGTGACCATCGATCACTTCGAGGATGGCTTCCATGGGTGCATTATTTTCACCAGCTGGCCCACCAACTTCTCTGTGGGAATCCGGACTAGGAACAGTTACATCAAGTGGCTGGATCAAAACCTGTGAAGGAGTAGAATTTCTAGAATGCTCGTGCCCCTCCTGACCCCCTGCACCTGCTTTAGAAAGACATGTATTTTTTAGTCGAGTAATTTCCCCTTGTTACTTGTGAGTTATGGAATCCCCATCCTCTGCTTTATGTTAATTTAATTTTTTTTAAATACATTTGACTAACCTAACTGCAAAAACATCTAAATCTGATTCTCCAGGTGGGCCAGTCTCTCCTTGTTGTAGTGAAACTGCTACCAGTGCCCACCACTGCAGAGAGCAGGACTAGGAGCTGGAAAGAGCTGTGCCTCCTGCCTTCATCAAGTTCTTTTTAAAAGAAATACGTCCAGCTCTGGATGACACTGTAACCTTCAATGAGTTGAGAAAGTGCAGGCTCTTGTTCCACATGCTAGAGTTTACTTTGAGTTCAGAGCACTGTTAAATGTGTGCACTTGAAGGTCAGTGCTGGGCACTTGAAGGTCAAGTGCCCTCTGTCCTTTGTAGATGGATGGTTTTGTTTCCTATGGGAATTTTGGCAAAGGTGTTCTAGCAAGGACAAGTTTCTCAAATGACGTTCTTCCTTGAGAGTGTTAATTTTATGAGATAGCTCTCTGTAAGTCCAGTTGGATTATGATGATACTTGAACGTTACTTTCTACCACTATTATTAGAAAATATAAGGCTGCATGCACTGGATGTCTGTACATTGTTAATATTTTTCGTTATGCTATCTCCTCGGGGAAGAACTTTTGGGACCAAATTTATTTAAATTTAGAATAAATTTTCCATGATAGAACAAGTAAAAAACCAAATGAACCAACCTATTGTTTTCATAATGAATACTTCTGACATAAGTTACCAAGAGCAGTGTGTATATATTTGGCATAGTCAGGAAAAAAAAGATATGTTTAATAGCAGTTTAAAATTAGGAAAAATACCTGTAGAGGGTCTAGTTTATTCTTGAAAACTCAACTTTTTCACTACATGGCTTTAAAATGGGGCTATTTTGGGGGATGGAGACATATATATATATATATATATACACACACACACACACATATATATGTATGTGTGTATATATATATAAATAAATGTATTGGGGTTTTTTAAGTTATTTAATGTTAATATATGGAGCTAGACTAGATTTTTCAGAATAAAGTCTATAATGAATATTTAAAATAATATTTTTAAAAAACTATCTTAGAATTATATCCATGTGTAATTTTATGGAAAAAGGTAAAATAGCTATTAATACTACTATACATTAGGCCTAAGTATTTTGATGTTCCCATGCATATACAAATTAAGATAATTAGAAACTGTGACTCCACCTAGTAAAAAGTCATCTAAGTGTATAGTTTATGGCTTATGCAAGACACACTGCTCATTTCTGCTCTCTATGGTCAGAGGAACACTAGCTCGTATTCTCCCAGGTGAAGGGCATACATTGGCACCTGGTGTCTACACCCTCCTTATCTCCTTCCATTAGGTCTAGACATTGGCAACAGCCCAAGTTTAACTTTGTGTAAAGCCTTCACTGCCAGTGGGAACATCTTTGGCATCACAAAAGACTCCAATTCTGATGTGAGTTGAGCACCTCTGCTCTCCTTCCTGCCACTCTTACGTCTCCCCCAGTCCTTACTTCTTCCAGGTGCTGCAGGGAGCTGCAGTCCAGCCAAGTGATGATACAATTTAATAAATGTCTCAGTGGAGAGAAAGTAGAACCTTTCACTCATTTGAAAGATGGGTATTTCCCACTTCTGGTGATGAAATTACAAATAAAAAATTGTATCATTGTTTTTTATTTATTGTATAAGCCAGTAGCATTTTATGTACAAAACAAGTAAATGCAACAGTGTGTGTGTGCCTGTGTGTGTATAAAAATAATCATACAAATTAGCGTGCTAATGTACTCAGGCAAGCCACTCGCCATCTCGGGGCCTCTTTGCCCTCTCCTCTAAAATCAGAGACCTGATTACTTGATCTATGAGGTTTCTTTCAACTATAAATTCCATCTACTTTTGTCAGAGTGACAAACTGTATTGACCTCTTCTACAGTGTTTTTTTGAAGGCCATTTATTCCATAGACTCCTGCATCATTGAAGATATTTTTTCTCAAAAATTAAGATTTTAGTTCTTACTCTCTTATAGCTATCCTCCTTGTTTAATATTACGCATTTTGACGTCCTTTGAAGGAACCAATGTTTGGATCTTATTTTGAGGTTTTCTACTTGTAATAAAGCAAAGAAAATGTAATACATGCACAGACTTCTTTAAAATGACATCCCCTGCCCCTAGGATTATAAGCCAAATCCTGTAGTCATTATAGACAACAAATGATTCCAGATCTCTGAAGGGATCTCTCAGATGAAAAGGGAGTAAAAGAAAAAGGGGGTCAAGCACTGTTTCTGATGAAATACTTGAGCTTCACTAAAGCTTTTATATATGTGAATGATTTGTCTAATGACTTGCACTGTGTCTCACCTCAGACCTTGCCATTCTCCTTATAATAATAACAGTTATGAATCATGATGCACAAATCCACTAGATATAAGAGAGGCCATAAACCAACCAAAAATCTGAGTGCTAAGAACTCTTTGGGAAGCCTACAGAGTTCATGTTGAAGGTATTTTGGTTTGGGGTGAGTTCATTTTCTTTTGGTGTTTTTTTTTTCTTTGTTTTTGTTTTTGTTTTTTTTTTGAGTTTATGCTCTGGAGATTGATATATATATATTTTAGTGTTACGGCTTTGTTTTGTTTTGCTATTTTATGAAAAAGGTGATAGCCATTTTGTAATATTGTTGTTTGTGAAATATGAACATAAATATATGAAGAAAAAATCTTGAAGTGCAGCAAAATATAGTGAAGTGTAAATTATACTTAATGTTTTGTCCTTGGTTTGTAAAGAATTTGAGGCTATTATATAATTATCTTGGTGGATAGAATATTTTATGCATGACCTTTTAACCTTTGACTTTTTGCTTATTTCCTACTGCAAAGGGAAAGGCAGATTTTATGAAGGATTTTAGCAACAAATCTATTTTATAAGATGAAAATCCATTATGGAGGTAGGAAATTGTATGTCTGTTTTGACTCATGTTTGGAAATAAAATGGCTCCATCTGGCAGTTTGCTCCTAGTGTCATTTTCTGGTCCCCAGCTCTCTCTTTCTCTCTGTATCTCAGATTCCTAGGCACAATTCTGCCCAAATCTTCTGCCCACTGGAGTCCTCTGGCTGCCTTTCAAGAGAGGTGGCTCAGTGGCCTCCTTGATGACATTCACATCATGTCTGGATACAGTATGTGCTGCCCATGATGGGGAAACCTGTCAAATATATAGTTTTTGAAGAAGTTATTTATTTGGAGACCAGAGGGTGGTGCTATTGCTTTTTCCCAGGCTGATGCCCTAAGGAGGGGAGTGCCCCACCCAAGAGAGATGGCCTCTGCAGTGTGGAGAAGGGACTCCGCACAGAGATCCTGGCAGATAACCCTTCAGCTCTCTCCCCAGAGCTGCAAATCCCAGCCTCTCCTCCCACAACTCTAGTCCGCTCCACTCTCCCTCCGCCAGAGCCCAGGGCTGTCTTTGAAACCTGTGCAAGGGACACCTAAACCAGACTTAGGCGTTAGAGAAGGCAGCATCTGTGGTGGGGTAAAAGTAATTCCATCGTGGCTTATTCAAAGGCGAGATCCAGTGACGGAAAAATTACTTGTCCTCCTACAGTCAAGGAAATGTCAGATGCAATATCTAAAGAGGAGATGGTGAGACGGATAAAGATGGCTGTGAGCACTTCATGGATATGGACCAGGACTCTAAAGAAAAGGAGCTTCATTTAAACTTGGCTTTACATCTTGCGTCAGACTTTTCCCTCAAGCATCCCGACGAAGGTGTTCACCTACTGGTACCTGCTGCCTTGCTGATATTTTCAGGATTTATGCTCCTGAGGCTCCTTGCACATCCCCCGATAAATTTAAGGATGCAGTTAGGTTTATAACAAGGCAGTTGAAGGGGGTGAGAGGATACAAAGAGCCCACAACTCAGTAGGTATTTTTATTGAGAACATTGCTCGGGTCAAGTCATATGACATATGCTTTGAATTGAAAGACAACAATGACATTTTTTACACCATTATACAGAACATTATTTTCAGTTACAAACAATAGCCACAGTCAGGAAGTTCATATGCACATGGTAGACCTCTTGAATTCTATTATTTGTAAGGTGATACAGTATCTCGAGCTTTTGCCCATAAGAATTTAAACAAGCAAGCATATAATTTGGCAAAGGCTTTACTGAAGAGGACAGCTCAAGCTATTGACCCATATAATACCAATATTTTTGAACTTCCTTAGATTAAAAAAATTTTTTTTTATTGTTGACAGTATTATAGATGTCCTCCAATTACCCCCCTCCTCTACCCCCTCCTTCCTTCCCCTACCCCACCCTAGGCCTTCACCACACTATTGTCTGTGTCCATTCACGTATTATCAATTTTAAAAATCAGGTTCTGATGCTTGGGAGAACATCTATCAGCTGTTTGTCAGAGCATGTCTTTGAAAATTTTGGAGCTTTATAGTATTGGTAGTAATTTGCTGCTCTCATGATGAGGAACGCCTGCAAGTTGTTAAACTACTGGCAAAAATGCTTGGGGCAAAGGATTCAGAATTTGGCTTCCCAAAACAAACCCCTTTGGCAGTTACTTGGGCAGGTTTAATGACATTCATGCACTGATACTTCTGGAATTCGTGCAGTTTGCTAGCCACTGCCTCATGAACCATCCTGATTCAGCAAAGGACTTAACAGAGTATCTTAAAGTGAGGCCACATGATCCTGAGGAAGCTCTTAGGCATGATGATGTTGTGTCTATAGTTACAGCTGCTAGAAAGGATATTTTTCTGGTCAGTGATCACTTAATTTTGTGAGAGAGAGAACTTGAGACAAACGGTGGAGAGTGCGCAGAGAAGCCATGATGGGATTTGCCCAAATTTATAAGAAATATGCTTTGCAATCAGCAGCTGGAAAAGATGCTGCAAAACAGATTTCATGGGTCAAAGACAAATTGCTGCATAGATATTATGGAAATAGTATTGATGATTGCTTGTTGAATTGATCTTTGCTCAGGGCCTGGTTCCCCATCATTTGGAAACTACAGAACAGATCGCTTGTATGCCACACTAGATTTAAATGCTGTGAAGTATGTTTCAAATGTCAAACTATTCTTTCCATCTTTTGTAGTATACTGGATTTTATGGGGGAGGGGGGAATAACAACTATTTTCAGATAGGAAAAATTTATGTAATGTAAACATTGTTTAAATAGTCACACAATAAGATATACAGGTATTTTCCCCCCAGAAAGTAAAAAGGAAAAGGTTATTTAAATATTTCCAAGCAAAATTTAATCAAAGTAATTTCAGCCAAATTTTAAAGCAAAAACTGTTTTTGAAAAAATCAATAAAGAGTTCCTTCCTATCTTTCCACAACTCAAGTCCTTTCTGCGTTTTTCTTAACAGATTCTGAGGTTTTTGCTTTGTTAAATAAACTTGCAAACTGCCGTAAAAGAGTGATCTATCTAACATGTTTACAATTGTTTCACGGAAGTTAAAGAGTTTGAGAAATTTTAACCAGTCAAAGCAATTCTACCACTTTGAGGATGTTGTCTTCCCTTCTTTTTTTCATTATTTTTAAATAGGAAATCTAATTCTATTTCCTGTGCTCTGGTTAAATTTCATGAAATAAAGCAATAATAGATACTTATTTGCTTGGTCACAGATTAAAGTTTTTTTTAATATTTTACTTTAAGATAAATGGTTGACTAAGCTAAGTAACACACCCCTCCTGACTTCATTTCCATCAAGCTCATAGAATGAAGTCACGGCCTCCTGTGCTAAGCCAGCAAGTACTTCAATTTGTGTCCTTAATCCAGTTCATTAGTGTCACCTTCCAGGACTTGCTAAAGTACCTTCCCTCTTGCCTGTATCTTCAACTCTCACTCTACTCGTTCCTTCTTAGCTCTATAAATATAGTCAAATCTGTCCTGCCCAGAAGGAACTCCCTT